AAAAAGGAGCGGTGGGTGAAAATCAGTCCGATCACAGCGTGCTGCCGTTGGATCATCTGTGCCCACCGTGTCATATGCGGACCCCGGGGGCCACACGAGGGCTAAAGGCCCGGCCAACAAGATTATCAAATGATCCAGTAAACTTTGGATGGCAGTCACAGACATGATCACAACGCGCTTAGCTCGACAGATGAAACACGCAGCTCGCCTGTGTAGCTTTCAGAACCCTTCTCCACAGAGACACGGGGCTGAAAGAGAGAGGGCAAGAGACAGGGAGCCAATGCGGAGGAACAGCACAGGCCAGAGCACATCAATGTGAAAACCAGTGAACGCCCTCGGAGAAAGAAAAGAATCAGAGAGAAATCGTACACCCACAGCGGCACAGAACTCAAGACCTTATAAAAGATGACAGCGTTTTAAGTTACAGCCTCCTCCTATCAGTGATTTCACTGCAGCCAGACAGTAATAAAATCTAATGCGTTGTAATTTATGAGTTGTTGCACAGAAACCATTAATTCTACATGAAAACGGGCAACTGGGCAGAGCTCTCCTCTACTGGTGTGTGTCCTCGTGTTGCAATTAAATTTAATAATTCAAGTCATTAATTATTCATAAAGGTCAAGTGAATAACAATAATGCGAGACTTTACTGAGCCCCTGAGGGAAATGCTCTTTTTGTTTGCCTTCAGAAGAGGTCAGCGACCCCTGACGGATGCTTCAGCAGGGGAGTTTCCACTCCCACTCCCACTGCCCCTCTGGCCCAACAACAAACCAAAGAAAGAGATTTAAAATTAAAAAACCTAGGCTGACAACTCGTTAGGTTAAGTGCAATAAAAGATTGTGTCCCTCTAACCCTACTCATTAATAAAAATATTGATCTGGACATCCCGAAAAATAATACAGTTGCTTGTTGTTGAGGTGTTTCCATCAGTTCGAGGAAAGTCATCTAAATAAACCTCTACCTCGTTAGCTCACACTCATTAAGATATTACATAATAATATCAATACAAAGAGACACTAAGTTTATTGATAACAGCTGTGCAGTCCACCACTACACTGGCCATAATTATAAATGCCGGTAAAGTAAATCTGACAATGCATTTTTAATTCTAATGAATCTGTTGACAGCTGTGCACTGTAGCTGCTTAAGCCAGCATTAACATCAGTTTCACAGACTGATGATGGGACGAGCGGCCTCACAGCTCTGGACCCTAAAGCGATCCGTTCACTGCTTTCATCATATTTTCATGGTTTTAAGCTTAAAAACAAGGAAAAGTTCCAGCTGTCCATCGTTTACACTCAGCTGTTGCCGAGCTACCTGTTAAACAGCTGAGAGAAACAGACGTCAGGTCTGTACTGAGTCAGGGTTGAGGCGGTCGCCTTGGTGACACCGGTGAATGAACATAGTACCGGCTTGTTGTGTACACATTGGCTCACGTGTTACAGGACAGATAATACATTTCCCTGTGTGTATATTCATCATGTCATCGCTGTCATCCTGTCGCCGCAGCAGCCGCCCGGTCACCTAACAGGAGGTGAGGGTCTAGAAATGCGGTGGAAAAAACAACCGTATTAGCACAGCGCTGCGTATTGTGGTGAATTCAGCCTTGGATGCTTGAAAACCGTTATATTTGGAGCCGAGAGGATGTGTTGTAATTTATTTCTATGCTCACTAGCCAACTAGTCCATGAACATCTGGATGTATCTATGATTGCGGTCACGCCCCTTCCTCAGCGGAGTGATTGGTATCCCATCCTCTTCTATAATGGCCTCCTCTCTGTGTGACAGTGGCTGCAAAAAGATTCTGAATGACTGATGCTAAATCCTGCAGCAGGTTTACAAAACATAAAATTAAAACAATGGTGGAGACAGAGAGAAAAAAAGGCTAAATTCAACATAAACTAAAAGGTCTTCACGAAACAACAGTGACATTTGACAAGCCAAGTTGTGCACTTGAGAGAAATATGATCCCCCAGGGCACCAAAATGCCACGGCACGTCGTAACAAACAGCAACCCACCAACTGACAGATGTTTGCCTCGAGACTGTGTTGACATGAAAAGCAAGCGGCAAAAGCGCATGTGCATTGAAATTGTGAACGAGTTAATAAGATGGTTTGTAATACACTTTTCTATCACGCGCTTTAAAAAACGCCATTCATCACTGTCACATGCGCTTTATCTCATCCGGGAGCCGACGTGTTGCATCATAAATCGAAGTCCAATCACTTCCTGGACAAAAATATGATGTAATTAAGAGGATCTGGTCTGGCCTGAGGGGCTTCTTGCAGATTCATTACAGCCAAAAATAAAAAAAGGCTTCAGTGTCCTCGCGAATGGCATCAAGTTATTTACTGTAGAACATCTCAAAAGATCAATTCTATGAGTTAAATTCGGCCAATAACTCTGACGGGCGGGATGCCTTCACATATAAAACCCCCACACATGGGTTAAATGAGTTAAAACGAGGCCTATTAGATGCACACCCAGGGGCTTGCTTCCTCTCACAGGATGTCAATAAGATGTAGTTTACAACACAGCAGATGTAAACAGCCTATTTATATGTATAAAGGCTGTGATAAGACTTAGATGTGTTTAATAGTGATTTACTAGTTAGAGGCGTTTAAGAGAGGTTGAACAGCATTGATTTTTTTTGGGGGGGGCGGGGGCTTACAGGCATTATGAGGAGAAAATTCTGAGGGTCTCCTTTCAGGGTTGTAGCAGTAAATCATTGATCCAAAATCGTTATCATTCTCATTTTTGAAGGGACTGAACAGCTGTGGTCTGATGAGGATTTAAGGGTGGGAACTCTACGATCTGCGTCCTGTTTCCACTCTGATTTAATTCTGAAAATCCTGACTGGAAGTTGTGATTCATAACTTTCTTACCATTTTAGTTTATAAGGAGTATTTGTTTTGACAGGGCTGTTATTTATTAATATCTATCTTCATATCTAAGTGTTTTAATTCAAAAGTTAAGTCGTCCCATCTCCTGTTTCTGTACCTGCACTGTAATGGCGTTTTCAGACAGACCGCGATGGCGCAGCGTTCAGGGGAGTCGCGTACGACAGAGCAAACATAGGCGGAGTTTTCCAAACTTCTAGCGGGACACGTCACTATGAAGCAGGAAGCTCCCGATGTGTTAAGAGTCTATCGCTGCCAGCAACAAAGATGCATCTTTCCAGTGCTAAGAAACAAGCGCTTAGCATTAGCAACGCTAATAAGCAGCAAGGGAGAGGCTGTGCCAGCTGCAGTTAGCGGGCTAGCTGTTTAACAGTTAGCAGCAGGCTGGTTAGCAACGACTAAACTTTTAAAATGAGATATGTAAATATAGCAGCTTTTACTGAGGGGATCTGTGCGATTCATATGCAAAGTAGATCACACACCAAAGAAAGATAAAAGATTATCAGATCACCCACCCCTAGTTTCTAATTCCTAGTTTTTTTTTTTGAGCTTTAGTGACAGAAAATGACTTCATCTTAATCCAACAGAGGCTTTACAGCGATGTTGCAGAGTGCCAAGAGCAAAATGGGGATTTTTTTTTTTTTTTTTTTTTTAAAAAGGAAGTCGAGCAAGATGAGATCAATTAACATCTTTGTGCTTGTCTGGAAACACAGAATCACCAGGGCAGATCTCCAAACCCATGTTCATCACTCGCAGCTGAGATCATCCATGTGTGCCAGGTACCCATTTTGATATGTCATTGCCTAATTGAGATTAAACCACTGTATTTCATGTCACAGGAGGTGACTGGAGGACTATGGGACATTTTCTAAAATTAAATGGAGCATCCCCGCCCCCCCCCCACACACACACACACACTTTTACAATATCAGTACCTGGTCGTGGGCCAGTACACAGGCTTAAATGAGAGAATTTGGCAGAGCTGCCTGTATTAACGACATAGGCGGCGTTGTAAGGTTGAAAGCCACGGTGCTCACAAAAGAGATGGACTTGGCTTCTCTGGGATTACCCCGCGACAAGAAACAGTGTAAAGGAGTATTGATGTAACCACTTCAAGGGGCGCTGTAATTCCAGAAAAAAAGAGGAAGAAAAAAAAGAGGATCAGTCCTGCAGGAGGGAGATGCGTCTGAGATCCGTGGCATTCGTGTTTCAAAGCAGCTGTCAAAATAAATTGCTAGAAATGGATTTCTGGAGGCTTAGCCATACTGCTCACAGCAAGCAGAGACACTGGCTGTGAATTGTTGTTATGACCCCTTGACTACAAGGTAAAATCCCATTGAGCAGCTTGCCACAGAGGGTTATATCCCCCCTGCTCTCCACCTCTACTGCCCCTTTCACTTCCCTGGAAGAGAGTAGCAGTGTCTGACAGAGTGATAAAACACAGCGTGGTGACACTCATCCACTCATCCCTTTATGCAATGAAACAGAAGGCTGATGGGTTTTACTAGTTCATGTTAAGTGACATGGATTAGCAGCCAGATAAATCATTGTACTCCATATTAGTCTATAAAGTGCACAGCATTATGAAATGCACAATGTTCTCATCTACTTATCTGGATTTATTTTGTCTCTGCACCGGCTCTCTTTCCCTCACACATTTAAATGGCAATAAGCCAGACACCACTGAGCTTACTTCTTATTTAAACGGTGGCATGCACTTAAGCAGCAAGCGGTGATTCCTGGTTATCCTAATGACTCCACACACACCTCTGAAGACAAAACTGAAATGTATTCAAAGTGAAGCTTCAATATCAAGTTTAAAAACCCCCCACTGTTACCTCAGCACAGTGCAGGAAAAAAAAAAAACAGCCTCCTCCCGCCACATTAGAAATTGAAAAATTAACAAACAGCAAGGGTCAAATAGCGCATTCATAAACCACACCAGCAGATGATGGACACAGAGAGCGGTTAACTCATTTTCACTTCCAAAAAACAGCATCTATCCGGTGGCGGGAGAGCGCCTGAAGCGAACAATTAGTGGCCACAAAACGTGCATACACCGGGCAAACATCACATTTTTCAGCGTTTCCGGTCACCTACCGCTGCTGTCCTCCGTGTCCCGTCGGCACAACTTGCTCTGGATGCCGCTGAGCTCCGGCTCCGTCCGCTCCACACCGCGCGGATTCCTCCTCTGCTCTGCGTCTCGCGCTGCACGCTCGTGGAAGCGGCGGGTGGGGGTGGAGAAGGGTGGACGGGGAGAGGAAGGGAGAGGAGAGGAGAGGAGGGATGGGAGGAGAGGAGCCGTCCAATCAGCGGCCGCCTGATGGGGGGGAGCGATAGCGGCCAATCGGCCCCGACGAGGAGGCTGATGCTGCTTTGTTTAACGGGGATTGACTTTCAGGCAACGGAGCGACTGCTGCCTGTCACGCCGGAGTGATCTGATGGCATCTGGGCAAAAATAAACCCACGTCCCGGTTAACTGCAGGGGTGGAGACAGGGGGAGTATCAGCGGAATGACTGACTGGTTCTGTCAAGGACAGGTTTATATGACAGAAACCACACTATTAATGTCCATATGTACACACACTGGTATATGTAATCTCTCTACAATAAGTCAAGTTGATTGGACAATCAACAGCAAATTAAATGGTTTGGATCAGTGTTATTACATATACAAAAAGTAAAGTATATAAATAATGTTTTAAAACAAAATCATCTTTAATTATCTTTTTTTCTCATATTAAGGCCTATCACTGTGGTAAGCCAATGATAGGAGGACAAGTGATCCCCCCATCAACAATAAATACTGAACTTCCCCTGCTTTCAGTTGAATCCTGAATGTTCAGTCCTTATCATTATTAAAATAAAAACTGCCCTGAAAAGTCTTTATTTGGCGTCCATACTGTTAAGGAGTTGTTTTTTGATATTTTAAATTGGGTCATGAGTTGGAAAAGGTTGGTAACCACTGATTTAGATAAAATAATAATCATATTTTATATTATATTACATTTAAAGAGATAATGGTGACTGAAAATGTTCCTGCTGGACTCCTTTCCTGTCTTGACACCAGTGGAAGTGATGGGTAAAATCCACAGTTTTTAATGTGTCCGCAGTTCAGCAAAAGTTCAACTCTAAGTGAGACAGGTCAGCATGGGGGGTTAGATGCTCAGACATGATCAGAAAGCAGAATACATCCTGTCCACGGCCCAAATATGGGTCATATACAGCATGATTGTCAGATGCTATTTCCACATCTGGAGCAGCTGCCAGTCAGCACCAGAGGATAAATAGCCAGATATCTGCCCGGATATATTAGTAGCCTATACGGGCCAGACTCGGTCCGCGAACACAGGCATATATTTGGCCAGAAGTTTTATTTATTTTATAATGAAGTGTGGTGAAACATACTGAAGGTTACAACACCAACATCAATTTACGACCCGCCGGCCCGTGTAAGGCAGTTAGAAGTTATGGATGGAGTAAATGCTTAAAATTTGTCAATATAGTCAGGCTGTACCTCGATAGGTCGGTTAGAGTCTCTACAATTCAAATATTGAGTTCATTTTGCGCTAACTATAAGCACATAAATATGATTTACTCATATCTACCAGGTGTACCAGCGGAGTGTGGTGACTGCTTACCTTAAAACTCTGGTTCTCGCTGGATTCCTCCGTTATCTGTGTTCCTTTAGTCCATAACGGTCCACAAGGTCACAAAAATCATAAAGGTTCCTTATAAAAGTATTCCAGGTTATGAATATCGACATGAGAAGTCCAAAGCAGAAGACTGATTGATTTGTATCCATTTCTCTTCCCTCACTTCTCCTCTTTCTCCCTCCTTCCCGCTCCACCTGCGGCTGTTAGCGGCTCTGCTACCGTTTGTTAGCTTTATGGCTACAAAATGGCGGCCTCCCTGTAACGGTAACGATCGGAGCAGATTTCACCAGAGACAGTAGAGAAACTACATAGAGGATCTTTGATTTCACCACAGAGAGTAGAGAAAATGTATAGAGGATCTTTGATTCCACTTCAGGGGAAGACAGCGAACATAAGACGTAATAACGTCTCTCCATCGAAAAAAAAACTGTTTTATTCACAGATTTTCTGACTCGCTAATAGATAGACGTCTCCCCTGACCAATCAGAGCAAATTATGGGGGCGGGCACTTCAGAGGCAGGGCCAATAGGCTTTGAGAGGTGTGGAAACAGCTGAGAGCAGGGATCAGCTCTGTTTCAAATGGTTCCCAAAGGTTTCCTAGGCATAAAAAAAAAACACTGAAGTAGTTTTCTATTATTTCATATCGAAGAGTTAAAGCAAATTTGTCCCAGTTTTCCTTTTAGAGAGGTTTATGGGCGCCAGTGAACAAATGAACTATAAAGGACTATCAAACTAAACAATTAGGCCTAGAGGCCTTGAAGCTTCACAGAGCAGTTTTTGACAAGATGTAGACGTACTGTGGATCTTTTCATTGTTCCTGTATAAAGTATATCTTATTGTTTGTTATGAAATATTACTATTTTGCAGACGAGGACTCAAAAATACGAAGATAAAAAAAACATGTATGAGCTGATGTAGTTTAGGTTGGATTGTAGTCACGTGCAAAACAAGCACATTATCATAAACTACAACACGTGACCTTTGAAAGTCTCATAAATCGATTTTGGCCTTAGAGTTCTTCTGTTACGAGCTCAAAACATTTACTTATGGAAGTTGATGCAAATTAGGTTTAAAACAGTTGGGCTCTCTATTAAACAGGATTATCTCCATATTCAAAGTGTACCATCAGCGCAACACAATGCTCCTGTCTTCATTAGCAGTTTGGTTTTGCTTTGCAGCAAGGGAGCACCCACACACAGAGACTAAACTGCATTTAAAGTAATTCCCAGTCAACCGTCCCAAACTTTGAACACCCAGCCTACTCCTGTTTCTAATGTTTTTTAGTTGTATTCCTTTTTAGTCTTTAGTTTCCACAGACAGTGTACTAAAGAGACTTTAACTCACTTGATTTAGCAAACTCAAACTGCTGAGGCTCCATATTTCCCCCAGATAAGATTTACTATTTCACATAGATGGTGGGTTTTAGTACAACAGAACAGTACAACACCTGACTATTGTTGAAAATAATAACTGACAAATTATTGACAATGACAATAATTGCCAATTATAGTCCTTAATCACTCCTCCTCTTTACAGGCCTACATGCTGTGAAAGGATCCCTCCCTATCTATTGGTTATCTTCTGAAGTTACAGCCACCAACAGGAAATATTTTATTTAAAGTATTTTTTCGGCCTTTTTATGTCTTTATCAGAGATTTGAGAGGAGAAAGAGATGGGACACGATAAGAGATAAAGGTACCTGTATCCAGTTTATATGTTATGATTATTGTGGCCAAAAAATACCATGATAACCCCATTGTATCAAACCTTCCTGCAATACAGCTATTTAGGCTGAATTGGATTTATCAGATGGAATAAGTGCGGAACAGTGAACCATATAATGCAATTTTGTTGGACTCTGCAAAAGAGTTGATATATATATGCATATACAGTATATGTATATATAAAAAATCAACTAAAAACCTTCGACGCACGAGCAGGACTGAGAATTACTTCAAATGCAGCAGAGTCTGTGTGGGCGCTCCCCTGTGGTAAAGCAAAATAAAACTGCTAATGAAGACAGGAGCGCTGGGTTTTGTGTTTGTGGTGCCCTATGAAAATGAAGATAAACCCCATAATGACGATAATGGAAATAGTTGCCAGTGTTGTTATCATCAGAAAACCCCCAGGCCACCAAGGCACTTGATTTGTCTAACTCGGAGTGCTGAAGCCTGAAACAAGCTTTGGCTGAACTTAAAAGAGTAATCCACTCGGTGGAGAGTGGGGACTGTGAATTTTGTTTCCCATCCCTTCCACTGGAGTCATGTTGAGGAATCTCTTCAGAGCCATTATGGAGAGGAGGAACATCTGCAGTGGCTTGGCTTGAATGATATAAAACATGTAATATCTCAATTTTTATAGCCAGTTACATATAATCATATTAATGTATTTTATATTTCAGGTGATGCTGCCACTAAACAACAGTTCGAAGTTTTATTTGTCACATGTCAAGGTAAAATATAAAGAAAAGCAAAGCAGTGAAATGAGGGTTGGACTCGGCAAAAATCGACATTATGAAAAGTATCACATAAATATTGCGATATTCAATATTATCGAATATCGGCCCGAGCCTGGCAGTGGCCAATCACTCTTGTAGACTACAGTTCATAATAGGTATGTGATTATTGATTGAAGACTGCTCTTTACGCTCTGGTGACCCACCAGGCAACAAACCATACTGCAGCAGACTCCCAGTCCTCTTATCAATCTGTATTTTCATTGCAACAGATAACACTGTTTGGGGTATTTTTAACAGCAGTGGGGTATGTATGGGTTTAAAGCTGCTTGGCAGGGGAGTAAACAATTAAAAATGTACAAAATTGCATCTACTTTGGATTGTCATTGAAAAAAGCCCAATTAAAAAGATGCCAAACAGCATTTGAAGAGAGGATGCTGAATTATTGAACCAGCACCAGTGTTTCCCCAGCTTAAGGGAACTGTCATCACAACGTCGCATGACCCCACAGTGAATTTGTAAAGCCATTACTTTTCTGACACTAAAGTACAGTTGTTTTCTTTTTGTTTGTTTTTTTTGCTGGTGTAATTAACATTGCGGTATATCCTCTTTTCAGGCAATTACCCTGCATGTTCAAGCTGTAACTGAGGTGGGGAAAAAATCTGTCAGAGGTGACAAAAGCCACCTAATGGAAAAATCTGTAACTCCTACAACAGGCCTGCTCAATCAGTGAAAATCAATACGCCTTTCACCGAGGAGATCTCGGCCGGGCTGTGTTATCTAGGTAGGCTATACATCAAACCCAGCCAGGACGCATAAAGGGAATACAGCTAAGTCCAGCTTGTCTGTGCACCTACTGATTAACAAGTCATATATTGTTGAGTTCATGAAGCTTTATTTCAACCAGACGTGATAGAAATGAAAAACCTCTTTATTCAGACACAGGAGAAAGCTCAAAGACAAAATACAGCTTGTAGTTAATGCACATATTGCAAAATTTGAAAATAAAGCCCTGTTTAGATCAGTCAGCAAAAATATAGATATGCATACTAAGTAACATAAAGAAGAATTTCCATGTCTCTGCACACCAGGTGCGTTCAAACAAAGCTAGGTATTGAATAAAAGAGCAGGAGTATGATTTTAAAACTCAGTACAAAAACACTAAATTGAATCAGAGCAGTTCATCTCTCCATGGACTTCGATGATTGATAATTACGTGTGGTCAACGCTGCCTGATTAGAAGCTGAATGTCACTCGTCGTCATCGTAGTATCTGTTCCTCTTGATCTGCTCCTCCGCCGTCAGGCCTTCGCCGCCGCCGTCGTCTTCGTCAGCCCACAAAGAAGTGCCATCTCTTCCTGCGCCGTAGCTTGTGACAAAGCTGTCACCGCTCTCATCCTTTCCCCTCACATCTCCTGCGCCGTCTCTCGTCTCCATCCCGAAATCCAAGAGGTCGTCCAGCGTCGACACCAGAGGCGTCTCCCCGGCAGGCTGACTGAAGATGTCAGATTTGAAATCAGATAGCAGACTGGAGGTGCTGGTGCTCAGGCCGGCGAAAATGTCCTCCAGGAAGCTCGATGTGCTAATCTTTGGCTCGGCGGCTTCGCTTTTGAAAGCGAGCGCTCCCTCGGCTGTCTCTGTAAGGAAATTTGTGTCTGAATAGTCTGTGGCTTCAGTGCATTTGGCACCCACTGGCACAAAAGCATCATCCCTCTGTGCCAACTGCAGCACGTCACTTGGCATCCATTTTGATTCTTCACAGCGATCAGCCTCAAAGAAATCTGCTCCTCTGGTCGTATCTGTCAAAAACAGCGACTGATTTTCCTCCTCGTCCTCATTAAACCCTTGAAACAGGATTTCATGGTCAAGCAGCGTCTGGCCTTTGTTATTGTTGTTGTTGGAGTTTGCATTCAGCGCCTGTTCCACCGTCGCCTCCTCATCTGTCAGTGTGACCTTTGCCGCCTCCCCATTGTTCATGCCATCATTATTTCCTTTATCTATCTCCTCCTGGCTCTCCGTCTCACCTGCTGCACCTTCTCCCTGCCTGTCATGTCCGTTTACTTTCACTTCCTCCGCACTTTCTACACTCTTCCCCTCGTCCCTCTCCGGCACTTTCCAGCTTTCCGCGGCTCCACCGTCATTCCCATCACTTTGTTCTTTCGTTTCCACTCCAGGCGGCACTTCAGAGTCCATTTCAGAACCCACTTGCGTCGCAGCCTCAGAGCCGCTGTTGGACTCTTTAGATTCTCGAGTGTGAATAACACACGCTGGCTCCTCAGCAACTGCTACTAGAGTCTCCGGCTCTGCTGGAGTTTCTTCAGACTTTCTCACATTCTCTGTTAAACAGGCACTCTCCTGCACCTTGTCATTTTCCTGGGGTCCATTTTGTTCTCTAGCTGCAGGTATATCAGTCTCTTTAAATAAAGGCTTCACAGGCTGATTCATGTGGTCATTTTCCTGAGCGGAGCCCTCCTTAGGGGGCCACGATGGCTTCACCAACTTCAGCTCCTCCCCAATAGTGAAGGCTTTCTTTGGAGAATCTGTCTGCGGAGGCCACACGACAGAAATCTTCGCTGTGGGCTTTTTGTTTTCATCCACTGATTTACCCGCGTCATAATCCTGAGCAGCTGATGAGCTCTGAGCAGCGGAACATCTGTAATCTATGACTTTCTTTTCAGGTGATGGTGATTTGACTTTTGTCTTTTCAGCTGAATCCTGCTGAGTCTTATTAGTCCATTGTTCTTTGTGTGGTTTCTGTCCAAATCCCTCGTCGTAATTTCCTTTGGACTTGAACAGTTGCTTGAAGTGTGGTTTGCAGTACATCCGTCCATGGAGAGAGGCGTAGTTGCCAAGACTGGTGAAGAGAAAAAAAAGGTTAAAAGAGTGCAAGGTGGAAGAATAAGAACGCTTTGTGCTCTGTGAAGCAGATTCACCTTAGTTTGCCTCTGCAGTGTTCACAGCGAAAGCAGCTTTTATGGAAGTTTTGTTTGTCTGCGATCAGCGACTCCATGGGGTACACCCTCTTCCGACACACCCTGCACAGTTCGCACTCTGGAATTCGAATTTTCTGCAGGAAGAAGAAGGAAACAGTTTTTATTTTACAGCACTGATATGCCTTTAATTTCCTAGTAGGTAATTTAATGCAAATTACAGGGAAGATACAGACGTTAAATTTCCACTGAATTAATTCCAATTAATTGCTAATAAATTTCTCTTGGGACTTGAGAGTCTAACGAACATTGATTTTCCCTTCCACAACATTTTCTTTGGGTTAGTGGCTTTACATACATCTTCATGTCTAAACATGGCGTAACACAAGTAGCACAAGTATAAAAGCGACCTTAGCTTAGGTTTAGTGGTCACAGTGGTCACACCAGACCACGAGAGGCTGTAGCAGCTTGTTTATAACTTTCTACTTCTCATTAGTAAAAGTGAGATCGTTATTTATTCCTTCAAAAGGTCTAAAGTCTCACTTTAAGTCAGTGTTCAACAGCAAATATGTAATTCTCTGTATAGTTTTTTTTTTGCAAATTAATGTAAGTTAATTAAAAATGTCCATTACAATTTATTGTAGGTCTGTAATGTAATATAATATAATAAATAATGAACTACTTGTGTTTAAATGTACAATTCCTATAATAATTAATACTAAATTACATCTTTCTTTCCTTAGAAAGTGTTAAAATATAATGAGATTATAAAAAATGATTTAAAAAAGGACAAAAAAGGAACTGTATAATAAGGGATGACAGCAAACACAATTAAACTGCTGTTATCAACTGTGTTAGTGTGGATCCTTCTAGAGATGATGCACTGTAGAAAAATGCACTATATTATAATTAGTATCAGTATTACAATTGCAGGGTTTGAGAGACCATTCTTTGACTCCCTGGTAATTATCTAGAAGTTAAAAATACTTTATTTTGAAATTCCTTATGAAAACCTTATCTTCAAACTGAAAAGTTTAAAGTATTATTTTTAATTTCCAGCCGATTGTCTCGCAGCGAGAACAGCGTCACACACCCAGGAAGGAGAGATATTAGTTGAATATGTTAGCATCACTTCCAGCTGCACACATCACAGGCATGAATAAACAGGACAAAGTGACACCTGTGGAAGTTAAAAGGTGTGTAAAGTGAGAGCTGCTCCGAGCGTCGACATTTCAAATAAAGGGGAACACATCAAAAGAAACTCACGGGACGAAAACAACAGTGTCAAACTCGTGTTAATGCTTTTTTTTATTATTATTATTATTATTATTATTTGTATTTTCACACAATGCAGATGATGCCTTTAAATTTTCACACACGAGGGATGTTAAACACACCGTCAGGCAGGTTTAGTATCCTCATGCCGCGCGGCTCGGTTTACCCGTCACGACAGTCTCGTGCTGGTGCGTTACGATCTGCGAGCTCCTCTGCTCTGTGACGCTGAAGCCCAGGTTCTGGAAAACTCCCTGGCTCTCGGCCCACGACTGCTGGAAGCTCCTCAGCAGTTCCTCGGTGGTGGCCTCGGGGGGCACGGCCACCGTCGGGACACTGCCTCTCACCACGTCGGCGTAGGACGGGGGGTTACCGCGGGTCAGGGAGCTCCCCGAGCGCGTCTCGCTCATCGTCTCCGTGGTCACGTTTCCAAAGTCGTCGACGCTGCAGAATTGCTCGGTGACCAGCGTCGTCTCGGAGTGACCCGCCGGCTCCGAGTGGGCCGACTCAGACTCCCTTCGTTCTATCTGCTCTCTCAGCTCGCGGGCGGCCTGAGAACTATGCTCTCCCGTCTCGAACACGTCCTTTATCGCTTTGACTTTGAACATGGGGATTTCGTCGGTCCTCTGAGCGTGCGGGTCGGCCTCTGCTTCCTCCGTGTCGCTCCCCAGCCTCTCTGTGATCACAATCGGCTCCTTCCTGGAGTACACTTTTGGTTTGGGAGACTCGAATCTGTTCACCAGCTTCGACAGGTCGACCCTCGGCAGATCCTCTTTCAGAAGATCTAAGGTCACGACCTCGGCGCCTTCCTCGGCCTCAGGCCCGAGACGTTCGGGGATATCGATGGGATCCCTCCGCATGTACGTCCTGTTCACCTCAGCCCTCTGCGCCTCCTCGAAGAAAGACTTTTTGTCCTTGACGGTCATCATGGAGTCGCCCACTTCTGCGACATCCACTGACCCCTGCTCGTGCTGCTCCACCAGAGTCTCGCCGTCGCTGAACGGGGACGGTTGCTCTCTTTCAGCCGCCAAACTCTCGGGTACCGGCGCGGGAGGAGGAGGAGGAGGAGGAGGAGGAGGGGTGACGCCGCCGGAGAGCTTGGAGGTTGAGTCCCTCAGCTTCATCAGCTTCTCCGAGCGGCTCATGGTGGGAGACGGCGTGGCCCTGCTGAAGGTGGACGTGGGCGTGTGCGACTTGCGAGGAGGGGGCGGCGGCGTCCCCATGGATTTGTAAGGCGGAGGAGACGGCGTCACTCTGCGCGGCGAATCCACCCTCCTCGATTCAATACTGATGAAGGTGGGTGAGGGGGTACGGATGCTCGCCAACGGAGAGGACACCTCCCTCAGCTCCTGATGCGACATCTTCTCTTCCACCACTTTCTTCTCGGTTTTGGAGAAGCCGAACATCTTGGCGGACGCGCCGCTGAAAACCCTCTTGTCTGGTTTCGGGAGAACTGGCGGAGGCGCCGGCGGTTCCTCTTTCTCTTCTTCTCCCTGCTTTTCCACAGCTGTCGAGTTCTCCTCCAGGAACGTGATCTTTGTGTGAACAATATTCCTCACATAGGCCATCAACTCTTTCAACTTTTTCTTACTTTGCTGTTTAGCTATTTCGCTTAAATTTTTCTTCTCATCCGCGCCCGTCACCCACTCAGGGAGCTCGCTTATAATCATCCTGACAGTGTTGGAGTCTATTTTGCTCGGCGTGCCCTCCAGCTCTTTTATTTGAGCGAGCAGCCTCTGCATCGCATTACATCTCTCTAAATCTGTGATTTCTTCTGAATGAGCCTCGTCCTTCTGGCCCGTTTTCCCCGTCACTTTCACAGACGCACATTTCGTCTCACCTCTCGCCTTCCCCACCTTTATCTGTGTTTTATTTGTTTCCGCTGCTCGTTGCTTTACTTGCTGCGTCTGCATCTGAACGGCCTCTTGCCTCTCCGTCACCACCACCGCCGCCGCCGCCTCCTCGTGTCTCTGAATGTGCTCTGCCTTCATGCTCTGCTGACTGTGTGTGACAGATACATGGCCTTGCCCTTGGTGAGTCGCTGCAGATGTTATCTTGGTCACCTTAGGCATTAAAACCGTAACCGACGGCGACAGCTTCACTTCAGCCTCCTTCTTTTGCACCTGCTTCACCTTTTTTGTGTGAACCTCGACTTCCTTCGCAGGTGGGGTCACCTGACTTTTCTTCTCCTTTACTTTCATTTCTGTTTTCATCTCAGTTCTTGCTGATGTCAGCTGGATGTTTTCCTGACTCACATTTGTTTCGCTCGTCCGTGACACGCTACTTTTCTCTTGCTGTGAATGCATTTCACTTTTCATTACATCCTTTTGTCCCGAGCTGTCGTACTTTTCCTCTTTCTTCTCCGTCGGCATCTTAAAGGTTTTCACCTTGAAACTCGGAGTTACCTTTGGAATTTTAGTGGGTTGAGAAGGACTCATTTTTCCCTCCTGTGTCGGAGGCACATTAATATTCTTTACATCCTCAGCTTTCAATGTGACCGCAGCCTGGCTTTGAAGATTTACATTTTCCTGGACAGCACTCTGTGTGGCAGTGATAGACCTGGTGCTGGATTTCTTAATAAACTGCTGCTGCTCCGCCGTGGAGGAAGTGACCACGTTCGAGCATGACTGGACTTGGATATGTGAGGCCTCATGGTGAGACTGAGAGACAGAGGAGGTCTGATGTTTGGGTGCAGTTTGACTCTTTTTAACAGCATCAGCTGAGGCGAGTGTTTTTTCTGAGGAGTGCATTTTTTCCACGGACACATTTGAAGATCCGGCGGCTAATTTCTTATTTACCACTGAGATCACGGGCTTGCTCAAAGGGATCTGGGAAGGGGTTTTCTTTGCAGGTGGGTGCTGTGCCAATGTTTCCTCTTTGGAAATGCTCTCGGCTTCTTCGACCTTTGCCCTCGTCACTTCTGTCATCACCTCTCTCTCGGCGCTGTGTGCTGTAGAAAGCTCGGGACTGGCGGCAGAGGAGGGGGTATTGACCGGTGGGGAAGTGGGAGTTGTGACTCTACTCTGATCCGTTTCCTCTTTCTCCGTCCTCTGTTGGCGATACCGTTCCTCTGCGAGCATGAGAGGGGTTTTAAACTTGCGGGCGTAAGGTCTAGGGTTTGGGGTTGGCGCAGGGTCAGGAGATGGGGGCAGTTTGATGGGTGGGACGAACCTTTTGGTCTCTCTCTGCATCGGTTTCACTGCCGGGGCGCTTGGTATTTTCGTTGCTGCCGATTCAGACTGGATCTGTTTGCTCGTTTCAATCTGTTTGCTCGTTTCGATCTGTTTGCACGTTTCAATTTGTTTGCATGTTTCAATCTGTTTGCACGTTTCCTTTTTCACCTCCTGAACTTTAGCCTCTTCTTTGTGGTCTGTTGACATTGATGTTTCCTGACCAGCAGGGAGCTGAACTGGAGCCGGAGCCGGAGCTGGAGCCGGAGCTGGAGCCGGAGCCGGAGCTGGAGGCGGTGGAGGAGTTGGTTGCTTTTTCTGCCATCTGGGTTTCACTTGTATGGCCGGCTTCTGCGTTTCTGGTTGCTTGGGCACTTTGAATAAAGGCCTGCCGAGGGGTTTCCCCGGCTTTGCAGGGGGAGGCTGAGGCATCGCACTCAGCTCTTGCAGCGAGGGAGGTGGAGGGAGAAAATCCTGTCCGCTTGCAGAGGGTGCAGACGGAGGAGGTGGAGGAGGAGGAGGAGGGGGGAAGAATTCAGGCTCAGACTTTATGCATTCTACGGGGGGCGGAGGTGGCGGAGGTGGGGGCGGGAGGTCGCCATCCTGCATCGCGTTGAAAGGTCGCGATGAGGGGAATGCCGGGCTCTCCAGCACCGGCGGCGGCGGTGGAGGGAGGGAGAGCTCAGACTCTGAGGGCGGAGGTGGGGAAGAGGGAGGAGGGGGGAAGTGGATCTCCGGTTTTGCCTTTTTGATCATACCTTTCCCTTTCACATCAAGGTTACGGTGATCACTCTTCATATTCCTGACGCTCTGCTTTTGTGCGAGAGCCTTATTCTCCGTTTGCTTTTGAGACGTCGACGTTTGCTCCGACGCCGTCACATTCTGCCTGTGCGTGACAGTTTTCTCCGTCACTGTAGTCTGCACCTGTTTGATCGTCTTGGTTTCACATATTTGCTTGTTTGATATTCTCGTCTGTGATGCCTTTTGCACGTCTTTCATCACATTCACATCAGCTGCTTTAGTCTCTGTTTGTTCATTATTAGTCGTTTGTTTATTCTTTATCATAATAGGCTTAGGAGCTTGTATTTTCTGCGGGGGCTGAGCTTTCTGTTTCTCTTCCTTTATGCTCTTCTGTTGAGAGGCCCCAGCAGTATTGTCTGCTTTGGCTTCAGTAACAGAGTGGCCCTCTTGGGTTATTACCTGTGTTTTCACTGATTTGCTCTCAATGTGCCTCTGTGTGTGCGTCTGTGATTCACTGCTCTGAGAAAGGTTTTTCACAGCGGGGGCTGGAGTGTCTGCTACACTCTCGCTCTTAGCTTCATGTGCCTGTTCATGCTCCCTTTGCTTTACAGTTAATGGATTTTTCATGGGCACTTTTGCTTGCTTACTCTTGGCCGCGTACATACGTTTCGGTTTTGAATACTGTTTTCTTTCCATTAGACACTTGATCGCCCCTTGAACGTCCCCTTTTACCACCTCCTCTTTTTCCGTCTGTGTCGACTCCTGCCCTTCGTACAGACACTTTATGGACGTCTTCACGTCTCCTTCGATGCTTCCCCTGCGCTGCATCTTCGAAGCCGCCGTCGGCTCCATCAAGAGCTGGATCGTGGCTTTAACGTCACCTTGTTCGCTCACTTGATGCTGGTAAATCTTTTTCTCGCTCGACGCCTCGTGTAAACTCAGCATGGCGGTGTGGATGTCTCCCTTGACGACCTCCTCTTTTTCCACTTCTTTCACAGTTTGCGTCGCCTCCTCCAGGGACTTCAGGGTCCCTTTGATGTCTCCTGGCACTAAATCTTCGACAGTCACTTCTGTTTTAGTGGTTGCAGATTTCTCCAGTGACTCGAGAGCACCTCTGATGTCTCCCTTGACGATTTCCGGCTTTTCCATTTCTTTGGCTTGATGCTGGGCCTCCTCCAGAGACCTCAGCGTGGTGTTTATGTTTCCCTTCACCACCTCCTCTTTCTCCATTACCACTTTCTGATTGATAGCTTGGGTCAGCGAGTCCATGGCCGCGCTGAGGTCACCTTTAACAATATCCTTTGACTCCAGGTTTCGGTAGCTGACAGCCGGCTCCGTCATGAAGACTTTAACAGTGCTGTATACGTCACCGGGAACTATATCTTCCTCCGCCACGGTGCGACCAATCTGCTGCTGATTCCTCCGCAACAAGATCTTGGTCTCTTCGATGTCGCCTCCGATGATGTGCTCCTTCTCCGCCTTTTCCTCGACTTCGTCAGATTCGCTCTGAAGCTGTCTCAGGTAGTCCAAGGCGCCGGACTCGATGCACGTGGAGTAAAAGCTGACATTACCCCTCTCCGTGTCTCCCACCTTTATCCTTCTAGAGTCCTCTCCGCCCGAGTTGGAGAGAAGACGGTGAAGAGTCCTGCTGACGTTCCCTTGGATGATGTCCTCTCTCTCCAGACTAGTCCTCTCACCTTTATTTAAGAGGGAGTAGATCGTCATCCTCACGTCTCCTTTCTCGTCCTCTTGAATCAGAATGCCACGCTTGGAGGAGCCCTCATCCTTGAGCAGATTGTTTATAGCCTCTTGAATGTCACCGCGGATAATTTCCTCTTTTTCGACATTGATTCCCTTCTCCTGGTTGAATAACTGCTTCACGGTGGTATTGATGTTGCCCCGCTCCTCCTGGTCGATGGTTATCCCTCTCTCCGTGGCCTCCCTGCGGTTCAGGAGGTTCATCATTATGTTGCTCAGATCCCCTCTGATGATCTCTTCTTTCTGGATCTCAGGAGCCTCCTGGTTCATGAGTTTATACTTCGCCATGCGGACGTCACCGATCTCATCCGTCTCGATGAGGATCCCTTGCGAGTCCACCATTTTCTGACAGTAAAGCTCCTCAAGCGTCTCTTTGATACTTTTGCCTATTATTTCCGTCTTTTCCATGCTGCTCTCGTTGAACTCGTGGAACGGGGTGCTTTCAAATAGCCACGTCGTCGACTTCACGTCGGCCTGTGGAATCTCCTCCTTTGTCACAACGAGCTCCGTGTCATCCGTCTCTTTGATGCTGTCGAGGGGCTGTTTCTCAAAGAGCCACACTGACTGTTTGACATCCCCTTTCATTACTTCCTCCTTTGTCACTCTCTCCATGCCGTCGTACTCGGCGCCTTCTCCGTGGATCTCATCAATGGTGCGGGTTTCAAACATCCAAGTGGCGGATCTGACATCGCCCTTTTGGATCTCGCTCACGCTGACGGTCCTGATGTACTTTTGAGTCATCTCATCGGTTTCAAACCGCTGCTTGTTCGTCTTCACGTCACCGCCTTGGATATCGGCGACTGTTTTTGATCTCTCTTTTATTTCTTCTGTAATTTCATCCAAAGGTTGCGTTTCAAACTTCCATCTGGCAGAGCTTACGTCTCCTTTGTTGACGCCTTCCTCAGTCACAGCTTTAATAACATAGACCTCCTCTGAGTCTCTAATTGAATCCAGCGGCTTTGTTTCAAACAGCCATCGGGCCCCCACCACATCTCCCCTCATGACTTCTTCTTTGGTGACTGTAGTCACTTCATGATAATGGCCCTCCTTGTCACGGATGGCGTACAGCGGCTGAGTTTCAAACATCATGGTGTAATTTTTCACATCTCCCCTTTCCACTTCATCTCGGAAGATACTTGTGAGTTTTGAAATATCAGTCTCAGAGGATTCCTCTTTGATCTGATCCAGAGAGAACGTCTCAAAGATGAATCGGCCTTTGTCAACGTCACCCCCCTGAACGTCGGTCACGGTGCGGGTTTCCCTCGCCTCTGTGACGTCATCCCGGATCGCATCAATCGGCTGGTTCTCAAACATCCAGGTGCAGTTGCCGACGTTTCCCTTCTGGATGTCCTCGGCCTGCTGCGTCTTCAGCCTCTGCATCATTTCCTCAGAGGTGGAGGTCATGATGTCCGAGGAGCGATTCTCGAAGATGTACTTCATCCTCGAAACGTCGCCCGACTGGACGTCGATTTCGGTGACCCTCCGGAAAGAGCTGCCGTCATCTCCCGTGATGTTTTCGAGATTCTCCGTTTCAAAGAGGAAGCGAGCCAGTCGCACGTCTTTTCCCTGGATGTCTTCTTGGTTTACGGTGCAGGTCTTCAGAATGGTCTCCGACTCAGACTCGGTGTGATCACGTATGTTGTCGAGCGTCTGGGTCTCGAAGAGCCACGTGCACGTTTTGACGTCACCTTTCTGCACTTCCTCGACGTCAGTCTCGCTCTTCTCCACCTTTTCATACAGGACATCCATCGGCTGAGTCTCAAACAGCCACCTGCAAGTCTTCACGTCTCCCTTTTCTATTTCGACACCCTCCTCAGTTTTACGTTCTTCATCTTCACAATTGCTGAAACATTTAATGGCATCGAGCGGCTGCGTTTCAAACAACCACTTGGCCGTTTTGACGTCCCCGGACTCGATCTCCTGTTTGGATATACCTTTGATGATCTGAAACTTATTGATGCTGTCGTCGAACTCGTCAATAGGACGCGTCTCAAACATCCACCTGCAGCTGCGCACGTCGCCCTTCACGATCTCCTCCCGCCTCACGGTCTTCACCTCGTGGTAATGGCCGGCGCTGTCCTGCACGGCATACATCGGGGTAGATTCGAAAAGAACTCTGTTGGATTTGACGGATCCGCTCGTGACACCTTCAACTTGGATTTTTTGTGCGCCTTCACACTTGCTTAAATCCATAGTTTCAAACCTTTCTTTATAGTTTGTCACGTCTCCTTTGTCGAGAGCTTCGATGTTCACAGTCCTTGTAATCTCCTTCTTCTCCTCCCTTATGTTCTCCAGCGGCTGGCTTTCAAAGACCCACTTCTGATGCCTCACGTCGCCCTTTTCTTCCTCGGATGCAACCATTTTCGTCAGTTTTCCCACTTCAAGCAGTTCTTTCAGGTTCTCCATGGGTACCGTTTCAAACAGATGTTTTGCCGACTGAACATCGCCGCCAACAATCTCCTCGCAGGGTAAATTTTGAGCATTGGCGTTGTCTTTCAGAGTATCCATCGGCTGCGTCTCGAAAATCAAACAGTGTTTCCTTACATCAGCTCCAATTATTTCCTCCCTTTGGTTCCTGGAACTCTCCCATTCCTCGTCCTTAATGGTGTCAAGAGTCTTTGTCTCGAAAAGCCATCTGCCTTTGTTCACGCCGCCTTGAATGTTGTCCTCCATTGAAATACCACATATCAGCTTTACCTGAGCAGGGTCTTTGTTGATCATATCCAGGGGCTGGGTTTCAAACATCCACCGTGACGTCTTCACGTCTCCTTTCTCCTCGGTCTCCTCTCTGCGGATGGTGGTGATCTGCAGGATCTCTCCCGAATCCCCCCTGATGACACACATGGGCTGGGTCTCAAACATGCGAGTGGTCGTCTTCACATCCCCCTTGATCTCCTCCAGCTCCGACTTCAGGTTCAGGAAGTGGCTCTCCTCGATGGTTTCTGTTTTGCCGAGGGAATCCAGATGCTGGGTCTCAAAGAGATACCTGGCGGTTTTGACATCTCCTCCGGTGATGTCTCTGGAGACGACGGCGTCCGTCTCCTGCTCGTCCTCTTGGTAGATCTTGTTCAAATAATCGAGTGGCTGCGTCTCAAAAAGCCACGTAGCGGTGCGGACATCTCCTCTTGCGAGATCTATCGATTTTTGTGACTGCTCAGCTGAATTAGGAGTCTCTGTCCCGAGAGCATCCATGGGCTGAGTCTCGAACATCCAAGCTGTGTATCTGACATCTTTACCAGCAATGATTTCCTGCTGGGCGATATTCCTCACCTCATCCTCATCTGGCGTGTCATCTTTGATCGTGTCTAGCGGCTTGTTTTCGAACATCCACCGCATAGACTGCACTTCGCCTTTCAGGATCTCCTCCCACTCCACGTACTCTCCGTCGGGGCTCGAGCACCTACTCGAGCCGTTGCCGTCGTTTTCGAAAATGTAGCGCGCCTGCTGGACGTCGCCCATCATTTCTTCGCTCTCCAGGTCTTTCTTTTCCGCGTCGGTGAGCTGACTCAAGAAGTCGGCCTCGAGGTTCTTGCGGACCTCCGGATGAATGTGCTTGTAGAGGCGCTTCAGCTCAGCCATGCTCTTGTGTTTAAAATATTGTTCCTTGTTGACGGCGCACTTACTCTGGGAGGTTGACTCCTGAACCTGGGAAGTGTACTCGTACTCGGGGACTTCCTGCGACACCTGCACCAGGTTTGAGGGCGGGGGAGGGAAGTGATCTGCCGCCTCATAAGCCGCCGACGAGGCGGACGTTACTGATGAGGCAGAGGCAGTCTTTACCGTGGAGGAAGTGTCGTAGCTCGTCATTGCTGAAGCTTTGGAGGACTGGTTTATTGGTACCCATTGAAACTGGCTGACATCCACATCAACCTTTGAGTGGTTGAAAAGAAGAATTATGTGTTGTAGTTAAAAGAATAATCTCTGACATTTTCCATTCTCTGACTTATGTAAAGAAATAAAAACGGGCAGCTTTGAAGCACAGGGTAATTTAGAATATTAAGCATCAATTTTCAAGCTAAAATACTGATCATTACAAATCTGGTTTCTATAATTTTCTGCAGCAGAGTCAAAGTTATTTTCCAAATCTAGAAGAAAAAAAAAAAGGCAGAGCCGAAAAACCAACCTGATTTGGATGTAAATGCACAAATACTGACACGTCATATTCTGTTACGCATGTTGCTAATTACGGACTTGATTGAAATATTCATTGAAGATCACTTTCAGTGCAGACAGTAATGTGAGTTCTTGTTTTAGACTGGGGGTTTTCCTTTTAACACTGTGGGGAAAAAAAAACGCTTCAGACTTTGACACGAGGTCTTTTATCCATTTCAATTTATTCTCCATCAGCTCGTGGCATGAGCAATTTCTTTTTGATGATTTCATGATGTGGCCTCATCTTCACACTGATACCTCATAAAAAAAAATAAAGAAATAAAAAAAACCTAAAACTATCATCTATTTAGATAAACAGACAGCATCATTACCTTAATTTCCTTGGTTGGTGCAGCTTCCTCAATCGTTTTTTCATACTGCTGCTTCAAAGCCTGAGTGGAAACCTTTGGTAGGTCCTCTCCTCCGACGAGCATAACTGAATTAGACACAAGGAGAAGGCTGCCTCATTAAGTCATTCGCAGTGAGGGAGCTCAGGGGGATTGGAAAGGGAAATAAATCATTTCATTAAAAACCTGAGTAGTTTTCATTTTCTGAAACCATGCAGCGGTGATTGCCCAATTTCCACTTTCCAATATTTTACCTTCCTGACTCTGCCCTGATTAGATTTGCTGCTATGCACTGAATAGAAAATCATCTGCACTCCAACACATTTTTATAGCTCATCCCTTATTCAGCCATAGTGGGAACAATCATTAATATACAGGACACAAGCAGTGCTGCGATAAAAACCTGCAAATTACAATATATAAAAAAAAAAAGGCATGTGCAGACTAACCTGTTTCATTGTAATGGTTCCCGTAACTGCCAGCCACATTGTTATGGTGGACTCTCTGATCGTGGACCACCTGTGAAAAGATGGGAGGCAAATGATTGATGTACTGTCAACTCTCAGAGCAGCATCCGACTGTTTTCAATCGGGGAGAAACATGAGGCAAATGTTCTATATAAAGGTTTGTAAAATGCAACAGGAAGCTCTGAAATAACAAGAGAGCGTGTTTATTAGCAGCGAGACGAACCGGCGAGTGTGACAACCAGTACCTCTTGTTGACTGTGAAGGAGGGCTGTGGAGGGGACGACCTCCCTGGCACTGCTTCTCACCGTCACCTGCGAGGAGCTTGACACTTCCTGTCAAACAAAGAGACGAGGTAATGGCGGCGTGTGCAAAAAAAAAAAAAAATGGCCGCAAACACATGAGAGAGAGAGACACACACACACACACACACACACACACACAAATAGACGCCACGGTTTCATCACCTCATGACTGCGAGCTTTAAGAAACAGAGGAGTCATTTTTATATTATGAAAACGCTTAATAAAATCCCCTCTGTGGCTGGAAACAAATGCTTTTCCATTACGGAGCCGCTTCCAAAGAAACTACTGAGTTTAAATTCCACTGAAGGAAGAATTTCAGTGTTGGAGAGAAACAGCAATAGATTACAAAAACCGTATGAAACTGCATCAGCCGGTTCCTCCAGTGAGATTCATGCAATTTGAAGGGGATGAAAGAGAAATATGATATTTTAGCTTGTATCCTCTGCTGTTAACATGAAAGATACATGGTTGGTGGTGGTGGTGGTGGTTTTTGTGTGTACGCATAATTTATGCATCTGGCCCCTGGACTGATGTGCTGAACTGAACCACTTATTGTCCCAGTTATAATTAATATCTTTTCCTGGTGCACAGCCAGCGTTAAAACATAACTCGGATATTACACCTGTGAAGGAAACTCGAGTGGAAAGTGGTTTTCTGTTGCAGCACTGAAGCAATAACTCGATCAAACAGACTCAGACATTTCCCTCCCTCACGAATCCCTATGTAAAATTTAGCATTCAGCAAGGTTCCTCGTGCACTCGATGAATCCGCTCTGCTTCCCGCCTGAATGAGCAGATGGGGAGAATGCATGGAGGGGCAGAATTGACCTTACTTCACTGAGACCCCTCCCCGTCCCGGCGCTGCTAACGTGTTCTGGCATTTTCCTCACGCGCTCGGTGACTGTGGCAGATAGATGAGCAAAGTTCAAGGTGCCCTCTTTGATTTGACCTACAAGATCACTTCGGGCGGGGGGGGCGGGGGGCAGCCGGGTTTTTCCAATTAAGAGCTACAGTAGAATGTAAATCATCCAGTGGCGTTCATATGTTTCTCACTTTACACTGAGCTGGTGGAAGGAAGGGACAGCAGTAATCCGTCTTCCAAGTTCTGTCGACTTTAAACAGGAGAGGGGGGGAAAAAAATCTTCCTTTCACCTGTCATCTTCGGTATCTCCAACAATTCATTTTCTAAGCAAAAGTTGCATATTCAATATGTGAGGATATTATCACATATATTCTCCAGCCACACTTCTTCCCTTTCTCTGGCTTTATGAGAAAGTTGTTGCACAAAAAAGCAAATGTGTGTTTTTGTGCATGAAATATTGACATACAACTATTACACGAACACACAGATGACAGGAATAGTTTGACAAGTTTTAATTTGGTGATTTGATGAGAATGAGATGAGAAGATTGATACCATTTTCATACCTGTATGCTAAGTATTAAGCTTGGGCCTGGAGACAGTTAGCTTAGCTTAAAATAAAGACTGGAAGCAAAGGGAGACAGCTAGCTAGCTGAAGAAAAAAAACAGCACACAAGCAGCTTTTAAAACTCAATAACTAAGACGTTAAATCTTGTTAAACAAGCAAGATATATTATTATTTAGCATTAGAGGTGCTGCTACGCTAGCTAGTTTCCCCCTGCTTCCAGTCTTTATGCTAAGTTAAGCTAAGTTCTACTTGCTAGCTTTAGCATACATATATGAGAGTGGTACCAGTTTATTCACACTGACCTTCAGGAAGGCTAATTCTTGGCTACAATTAAAGATTTAGGACAAATTAATTGTTTCGGAATCAAACTGCACAATAACAAACTTTAAACATTTGATGGGTGAAATGTTTAGATTCAGTTACAGTATCGCAATGTTCATATTATAACTAAAAAATCTCTATCAGAACATATCAGATTATAAAACTAACATAGTTAGAAGCTAATATTAATGTTTATTCTATTAGCTTAGCATTCATCTTAGTTTAGCGAGTTAGCTTAGCTCCCACAGAGGCAACAGGGAAGATGCAGATCATTTACTCTTCGCAAGAACATGAATGAGAATAATTCCCAGAATGATTGAATTGTTCATTTAGAGGTTTTCACCTTTTTCAGGAGATGAATATGTAGAAATATCATGTCCAATTCCAGCTTCTGTCACATACATCCATCTACTGCGAGTGTAGCAACACATGTGTTTGATTAGTTTCTCACCTGGACAGATTTCTGTTGGAAATGAATCTGGGTGACGCTGGACTGGGAGGACGAGGAGGTAAACTCCTGGTTCTCAAACTGTCTCTTCACGCTGGCCAGGCCACCAGGCAGCGAACACGCCTCCGACTCATCCATCATCTGTAGGCAGGAAACAGAGAACACCAATTACACCTGGAAATATCTATCATAGATCACACACTGTAAGACTCCGCCGTTTATCTGGGACTTAAGAAAGATTGGATTTGACTTAGGTTAACTAATCTCTGCTCTCATTGTTTGTGAATATGTGACACATTCACTCATGCTAATATAAAAGTGAATGCAAAGGCATTATGCTAATGCTTTTTGGAAACATCAGCAGTGTTGGTTTTCTTCAGAACGTGGTGTGAATGCTGTAAAATTTCAGATCCTCTAGGGTGTAAAAAGTATTAAGGTGATATGATGTACTGTAGGTGACGCTGTAAAAGAAATACTGAGACAAGGTATAAACATCAATACAAAACTTAAGTCTTTCAGATTATAGGAACAAAAAAAAACTTTTCAATAACTTTGATCAAGTTACGGAGGGAATTATTCCTTAAAACTGGAAAATAAAAGAAGAGTTCTTTGCAAAGATGAGGAGGACAGAGAGTGCAGTCCTCAGCTGACATGAATGCACATTGACTGTTTTAAGACAATAATCTCCTTTTGGGTTTGTCAATTACTTTGCTAATAAAACATTTATATTTAGGCTTTTGCATATATAGCTTCTGGGGAAAATGCAGAATATGAGAATCTCCAAGCTTGCCTGCTGTGTTGATGTGTGTGTGTGTGTGTGTGTGTGTAAGTTTCTTTTTTTAATGCAAATTAGGGATACAATACAATTTGCAAATTACTGCAGAGGAGTTTAGGTCAGTGACATTTTCTGGCATGGCACCGTGTTATCAATATTTTACTACTTCAGGGTACAAAAGCTCCATTGATATGACATACAATCATTTATAATTACTGCCATATAATGTCGACTTGAATATGTATGCAGGGATGTTCAGACACGCTGTCTCCTGTGCAGTTCCTTCTCCTTTTCATTTGCACATTATAGAATTGCTTCTCTTGGCCTCTTCCACGTGGATTATGTGAATAATTACAGTCAAATCAGACAGAAGCACCCCCAATTAAATCCTTATATGCTGCTAATTTGGTTTGTCAATTACGTTTTGAGACGAACTGTAACAAGCGCAAAGACTGTGATGCTGGAGACGTTTGCATCCTGCGTTAGCATTAGCATTATGAAAGAAAAGCACTTGGGTTGAACAGTTGCACATTCCGCTTATTTGATTTCTTGCCACACTCTCATTAGCTGAAGTCAGGAGACAGTCAGCTCAGATTAGCATAAAGACTGGAAACATGGGGAAAAGCGAACCATTGCATGTTGGTTTTTGTGCAGATAAAATGAGAAAAAATACGTTAATTAAAGAGCTTCAGTTGTGTAGTCAACATTGGACAGAGCTAGGCTAGTTAGCCATGTAGCTTCTTATTTGAAAGAGAATGACACATCCTCACATCTGGGGGGGTGGTGTGAATATTCCCATCTAACTCTTGGCAAGAATACAAATAGGTGTATTTCCTAAAACACCAAAATATTCTTTTAAGGGTCAGAGGAAGACTGTGGGTTTGATTAAATGCTGATAAAGAAAACTGTTGCTGTAGTTTAATATAAGCAGAGGATTTTGCGAGAGGAGGGGTAGCTGGATGACACACTGAGTGACACGCTGTCACTTGTGTGGACATGCAGACAACAGCTGCAAAATGTGGAGGAAAAACAAGACTCCCGTGACCCCACCACCAACCCTGTCTCACACACACCTACACACACACTCAGCTGTAGGTCGGCACCACTGACAATCACTGTGGAGAGTCATTCAGTAAAGCTGCTGTTTGGGAAGACTCTTGTATTGGTGTTATTAAACCCCTCAATAAACTAATAGAAAGGATCTGTTGAGTTCATCCACTGGTGTTTCTTTTAAGGATAATTATGTGCTTACAGCCATTCATTAAAAGCAACACACCACTTGTGGCGGTGCTTTATTGTGATGCTGGTGCAGAGAGAGAAGCACTCGGCGTAATGTTAACACCTCTCATCTGTTCTGAAACAGCTGTAAAGCTCGGCCTCAAGTGGCTTGTTGCTATGCAGACCTGTGACCAGCTAACTGCTGATGCACTCACCGAATATTAGGAAACTGAAGTTATGCTGCAGAGTGGAGGGCAACTATCAGTTATTACTATTTAATTATGTTTAATAATTAACTGTTTTAATTATTTATCTTAAGATTTTTAATTATTTTGTAACTGCATATTAACATTTTTGTTTCCCACCACTGTTTTATCATTATTTTAAAACACAGCTTCCTGTGTGTCATTGCTTAAGTATGCAACTGTGCTGTCCTGTCATGTCCAAAGGCACCAGAAGGTGGCAGGTCACCACCTGTAAACATGTGGCCTCATGAATGACATGCTCCACCTCAATTACTTAAAGATTTGTTAAGTTAGATTTGAAACCAGTGGATCTTTCAAACACAAGAATAAAGGTTCTCCAGTGTTGTTGAAGCTTCAGGCTTTGGGTTTTACTCTGTACCATCATCAGGGGGTTGGCAGGTTGGCAGGTTGAGACGTCAAAAACACCAGCTGGCTGCTCATCTGCATCAATTAGCTTGATGGTGTTACAGGCCTGAACTGCTTATAAGCCAGAACGTCAACACATGTCGGCATCCAAAACTCTGATCAATTATTTCTGTGTTTTTTGTTTTTTTATTCTGTGTCTGATTGGACATGATGTTATGAGCTTGACCTCCTCAGGTCTGTCGTATGTCCTGACTGTAACGCTGATTACACCGGCAAAACTGTCGCTGCTTCACTTCCTTACTGTCGAATTTTCAATTAAAAGTGAGTGTTCATCCTGCAGGAGGGAGTTCACATGTGAGGAAATGTTCATTACGGAGTCAAATGTTGTCGGCTCGACAAGAAGAGCAGTGATTGAACGAGATGACAAGTCAATATGGGAGATTTATGGCGTAACTTTTAAACTTCTCAAGCAGAAGAACGACCAAACACAAATCATTTATTAAACACTATTTTCAGAATTATAACCATCAGCAGATACAAACGTCCCTCCAGTTTATTTTACAGCTGTTGTTTTTTGACATTTGTCCCTGCTCCTGATGTTAACTGAGTTTATTTGTTAGTGGTAGAATAGACATTTTCCAGTTGCTAGGGCTTTTATTTTAGAAAGTGAGCTGACTCACTGTAATGGCTTTGGCTGACTTAGTTCTCACAGTTGAATTACATGCAGGCTCTCCAAAGCCACAGAAGCTTTTCTTTGTCCTTGATCATGACTAATGACTCAGAAATGTTATTTCTTTTATTTTTTAATAAATAAGAAAAACGCAGTTAAATGCAGCAAAAATGACTCACATTACTAACATGGTGATTGGTGGCTTTGTGCGCCACCTTTCCACAGTTTCACATTCTGACTTTGTCACAAAAATCCTTGTTTATAATATAAGCAAATCAAATATTAACTACATCTGATAAAAAGAAAAGTTTTTAAATTAATTTTTACATTTAATATTGCAATCACACAGATAAAAGCTTTCAGTGGTGGATTTCTAATTGCCTTTTTTTTTAAATTAAATAACTTTTTTTGTTAGATTTTGTTTTGTTACATTTTCTTTTGCTTTTAAATTAATGGATAATGTTTAAAGGCCAGGAAGTAAACACATTTCTTACATATGGGATTATAACAATGTAAAAATAATTCATTACAGCTAAAAGAAAAAGGTACAAATGTGCTAATTAAACCCCTGTAATTGATATATTATTACAAATGACATATTACATTGGTAATTACTGATGATTCAGTGTGTAACAGCTCAGTAGTTCCCTGTCTGTCTGTGCATCTTAGGTCATGTTCTCATATTTGGTTATGTCTCGTCTTTTAATACACTTCCTGTTTTATTTTGATATCACTAGGTCACAAGCCAAAAAGGTTGGGAATCGTAAGACACTATTAGTAAGGTTTGCTGTTGCTACACAGCTAACGTTAGCATTAGCAGCTGTTTACTTACCAGTCTAGAAGAAACACTGAGAGTTCAGCATCAAACCTCATTCGTTTACTCTCAACCGTTTTGTTTTGCTTCTATTCCTATCACGTATTTCCTTCTACTGAAGTTAGCATGCTAACCAGCTAGCTCCTTATCACTTTCCAACACTGAGTCACTGTAGCATCCAGGCTACCTTGAAGAAGTAGCTGCCCAAAGTAAAGGAAGTAAGTAAATGCAACAATAAATGAAGCTCTTGGCAAGACTGGTGAGTAAACAGCTGCTAATGCTAACGTTGGCTATGTAGCATTTAGCAAAACTTACAAAACAGCTCCTTTAACAACATATTACATGTTAGAAGCTTATTACATGTTTTGAATGTGAAATCTGTCAGATAAATGTTGTAGAGCAGAAGTATAAATTAGCATTAAAGAAGAATTCATCACTGGAGTAAATGTGGATCAGATCTACTGAACTGGCTCCAACTGAAGTGAAATCAAGGCTTATGATTTTCTAAATGCACAGCGTGTTGAGGAATTATTGATATATCCTGCTGAAGAAAGCCGCCCTGTGTTGTGACATGACTGCTGATGATTCCTCCCGACAGTCTGGAGGTTTGGTTTTTCCCATCCTGCTCTGACCCCTTTGACACATTGACAAATAGTCCCACCATCCCGCCAGACCCCCCCCCCCCAGTAGATTTATACCCGAACCCTGGATCTGAATGACAGAAATGTGCTCATAAACATCAGTAACGTCCATCACAGATTGTCAGTTTAACCGTTAAATCAAAACACTACTGAGTCCTGCCATCTCTCTCTGGTTGACACCGCATACCCTCTCTGCGGCGTCTTGTTACATCCTGTGGAAGTATTGTCTTACCGCCGCAGAGGAGGAACTGCTGGTTTCTTTCTTGGACACGGCAGCCTGATACATCGCCAGCCGCTCTTTCACCGACACCGGCTCGGCCTCCGGGTCCTCGGCGCTCAGGGCCCTGTCCTCGGGAAGTCCTGACCTGGATCTACCTGGGCTGCCTGCAGCTACACACACACACACACACACACACAGATGAGATATTAATTTTAATACCCTTCATTGATGCAAGCAAACCAAACTCAGCTTTATCCTCTTGCTCGATATGTCTCTTTTAGAGATCTGCTGATATGCGCAACCTTCTCATTACTCTCATGGCTCGTCAGTGAAGCTCAGACAGAGCTTGCCCTTTTGTAATTAGCCTTAAGGGACAGTTTTGTGTATATGAGTTTTCTGTCATTACACTGGAACAGGCGGAGGCGACTGTTTTTACTAGAATCAATGGAATAGATTTTTTTATTTAGCTGCTGCAGACAGACCATCCTTATTAAAATATTACATAATAACATTAAATGAAAGGAAATAAAAGAAAAAGAACGCAGGCAGGTGGTGTCACTGACATCTAAAGTATTAAAGGTCTCATATTTCACACTTCTCGTGTTTATCTTAAAGTGTTGATCCATGAGAAGATATATTTGTGGTTTTAAGAACCAAAAGCCATCTCAGTGTAGTTTTACATCTCCTCTCTCAGGCTTCTCTCTGCAGCTCTGGTAAAAACAGGTCGATGAGCCAATCAGAATAGAGGAGGCTCTGAGCCTCTCTTTGGGCTTGGTGACTGCTTTGTTGTGACATCACAAAGTCACAGAAGTCCTGACGGCTGGTTTTAAGGCTCAGTTTCTGAATACAGGCTGTGTGCATTTCTCTGTGGACTGAGGCTTTGATACTTTCACAGTATTAATATAGAAGCTAGACCTGATCTATAATCACACTACACATGGACAGAGACCAGAAAATCCCATCCCGGGTTTGATGAAGACATCTGCATAGTTCCAGACACTGTAGATATTTTAACCTATAAGGGGCCGGAGGGAAAACAATCCGTAACGAACGTCGACACAAAACTGAAGCGCAGCGTTGATCAATCACAAAGCACTTCCTTATGATTCTTCATATTGCGCAGCACATCCCTGCGGATAAGCCAATTAGAGAAGAGCATTGATTTTACATTTGACTTTTCTGTGCAACAAAGCATCATTAGGCAACAGAGAAGGCTCCGTTAAAGCTCCGCATACACCCACACTGGACCTTTCAGCTCTTGGTGTGTTCGCTCTCTCTCCAGGCAACAACACCGTGGGATGAAAGAAGACCATAAATAGAAATTATTCCCTCTCATTATGTGCTCACATCGTAACCTTTTGACATTTTGAAACTCTCCGCCCCATGTTGGGTTTTTGCAATAGGTGCTCACATATTTTCTCCATATGGTATAATTTCGGCCTAAGTATGAGTTCTACTTCGGGTCAGATTTTTGTTTTGTTTCAGAAGTGTTAAAGCAGCTGCTTCTTAAATCCTTATGAATCTGATTGAAGTTGGCTTGGTGCTGTAGGAGCACAGAGATGAGTAAAAAATTCAGTGTCTACTGGTGAAGTGCACACCAACAAGTGTTGTGCATGAATGCGCACCTACCTTTGTTGCCATGGTTACTATAATGACGGTCATGGCTTGGTTAGGGTTTAGGGAAAAGATCGTGATGAGTACTTCCTCAACATTTGACGGTTTTTGTTGTCATGGTTACAGTGTAAACTGCTGGTTTCACATGGGAATCGAACACCGCTCTCCTGTCATAACTGCCACGACCAGTAGATGTCGCCTAGCAACAAAACGTATAACTATGGGTCATAACAACGTGCAGCACGAACGACCTGTGGGTTCGACAGTCTCCATGCAGCTTAACAACCGCAACAATACATCAGCAGAAGAAGAACCGTGAACACGTCTGAACACGTCTCTCAGCTCGTGAGTAAAGCCAGTGACGCTCTTCTTTTCTTTCACTTTCTGCACAATAACAAATGTTTAGAGCTGAATTACATTTGTCAACTGATCAGTTTTGAGTTGTTTAAGTGGGAAAACATGAACCCGCGTTGGTAATCTCTGTCTGTGACTCTATAGTACAATACAGTGATATGGCCAAATTCAAAACTGTGAACTAGTTTATTTCAATCTGTGTGAGCTGAACTTTGAGCCGGCTCCGGTGAAGTGTGAACTTGCACAATCCTGCAAACTGAACGTTTATGCTCGGCTATGCAGAGCGAGCTATCTTTATGCTTCTCCCAGCCCACGTATAGTACATCCTGACCGGCTTGATATAGATCACTCCTGGTATCCATGTCTTCAAAATCAAATGACCACTGATTCAATCTTTTTATTTTGTAGGTAAAACCACATGATTTCCCACATAAATCCAGTGTGAACCATCACACCACCATTAAAAACAGGGAAACATTTTGTGGAATATTTCAATTAAATACACTGGAGTTCATCCGGGTTGGATCGTGGCTGAAGTAAATCCAACGCTCCGGGTGAGTTGACCTTTGACCCAACTAACACTGTTTATGAGAAAAACTAATAGGACTTAATGGACTGGTAAGTGCCGACGTTTGAGGAACCATTAAGCTGGAGAGACAGAGTCGGACAGTTACGAGACAGTGGTACAAAAACCTCAATTAAAACTAACTGAATTTATTTTACTGTTAATGACGAAGCTAACACGCTTGCTAACTGTTAGCTAAGTTCCTAGCCTCCCATGCAGAAATGTGTTCTATATGCTTATATATGTTTTTGTCTAATAATTGTCTACTTATCAGTGTCTAATATTCCCAGTCTGGGAAAGTGCTCTCAGACTTTTGGACCCTATAATATCAACATACACTGACAGGCATTTACGTCACGTCTCTACATATTTAAACATACATATCTGTATGCGTTAGACATATGAGTCAGTGCCGTGTTCTGGTCTGACCGAGCCTTAATCCAGACGCCATGTGACAAAAGCATGTTCTCCTCATCCCGCCATTTTTAGCTTTCTGCTACGTCTGGCATGTTAGTGTAACCAATAACCATCAGGGAGAGAAATAGCCTGTCCAAGACAGCAGCATCTGAAAATAAACAGGGTTTTTTACCCACCACATCCTATAAATATGGGTCAGAAATCCAACACCTGAGGCTGCGGCGTTACCCAATACCAGCCTGATGACAGAAGCACAAGGATAATGCCTTCATTTATCACCGGAGATAAATGTTCACGTCACGGTCTGGAGCCGTCAGAGAGGCACAGACATGACGGGTTTGATCCCTGAGAGCGGTGACAACAGCGCTTTGGATATCACTGGCTTCTGAGAAAGGGGGTTTTCTGTATACAAAGCTGCCATAGCATGGAGGTGAGGTAACCAGGCTGCAGGAGGGGAGGGAGGGGAGGGAGGGGGCTGACTGGAGGAAAAAAATAAACCCAGCCTTTTTATAAACCGGCTCTGTCTGCAGCGTCATGTTCCCCTGTAACAAGGAGATTTATGGAGTGGAAGTGTGTGTAGGGATGGCTGTGTGTGTGTGTGTGTGTGTGTGTGTGTGTGTGTGAGAGAGAGAGAGAAATAAAAAGGAAAGAAAAAACTAATGAGATATATTTTCAAAGATTTCAAAATCATTTCACCATCTCCCTCCGCTGCCACTAATTACTACTGGCACCAACGGATGTTTAATTAGCATTAATAATAGCTTTCAAACACAGTCGTCCAAATATAATAAGGGACCAAATTTCTGTTTACAGTGTGGTATTGATATCAGATAAAAACTTTTCCACAGGCTCCTGTGTCACTCCTGTTCACAGGCACATTTACCACCGCGCTGACTTTTCCTCCTCTTGGAGTATTAGCTTCTTATCTCTTCAATTCCACAGCAGAGGCACAAGTGTTGGCACCGGACGGGGAGAGGCCGGGAAAAGTCAACGGGGCGGGGGTGGGGGGTTCATGCACAACTCAGTGGCTATATTGAGCCCAGCTGAGGACCGCTGACCTCCCTGTCACAGCCTCCTCTGCTGCTGCCTGTGCTGGAGCGATGCGAGGCGAGGCGAGGCGAGGCGCTGGCTGGAAGACATCGCGGCGTGTCGGGGAAAATGTGTGAGTGCAGAAGAAGAACAGGGTAATTTCAGAGTTTATGGGTGTGAGCGAAGGCAGAATGGCGCCGTAGCTCAAAAGCTAAATCGAGGCCCATAGATCTGTGTCAAGCAGAGGCCGTTTCCTAATCACAGAGGTGTCACCCCCCTTTTTCTCTGCCCTCCCAATTTTCTGTTCAGCACTAACTGACCAAACCCGCTGGCTGGGCGAGGTTTCACAGGAGAGTCGGAACGAGCTGCACTAATTGAAATGTCAGCCGTGGAGGGGGGCGATTTCTTCCCTTACCGATGAAAGCAAAACAGGCACAATAATTGAGCTGTCAAATCTATCAGAATAACTTCTTTACATTGAGAACGGATTGCCCCCGAGTGCTTCCTTATGCTGGGCTAAGCACTTTGTCTCTGATTTGCTATGCTTTCAGAATATTTTAGATCCGACTGCTGCCGGTGATGTCTGGTGGAAGGGAAAAAGGAAAAGGGGCCCATGCATGTTTTATGACAAAGCACAAATCCTGGTGGAATCGCGTGGGGGGGGGGGGACATGCTGCGATATCACATCTCATTCAGAGTCCAACACAATGCAGCCTCTCTCCGCTTCATCTTATTTCTGATTTTACACCACAGACGTCTCATGTCTGCCGCCCTGGCACATCAAACCAATTCATTATCAGGTGAAATGTCATCTTCCGTTTCCAATCTCCCTCTCCCACCACTTCTGCTTAGGTGTGCTGACGGCGGGGGCCTTGAAATGCTGATAGTCCGCACACATCTCTTACCTTCTTTAAACTGTGTAGGTCGCTCTTTGCGTCAAACAACAATAGAATCCAACAGAATGAAAAAAGGAACCTCCAGGAAAAAGAAACAGGCTCAGTCGACCAACCTTGACCCAATACGGTGAGCAAATCCTAGGCACAGACAGACAAGTGAGGCTTGGAGACCAGCTCCAGCAGTGCTCTCCACAGCTCAGTGAGGCCCGGGGATCCTGTGACAGCTGATTTTATTTTAGAAGCCCCCCTTCGTAAAAAATAGGATGGACTTAGGGGAGAGGGTAAATGGATGTGG